AGTTAACCTAATTACTTCAAGTTTAATGCAAAAACACATGATCGCACCGGCTCGTCTGTGCGTTCCAGCCTGAGTTCTGATTTATTGCGATACTTACGAGCTGTTCATCTAAAGAACAATAAAAACGAAGGCTTTCTGGCTACAGCCATCAGAAACGCATATTGTCGAATGGCTGTCTATGTGTGTGTGTGTGTGTGTGTGTTCGGGAACGAGTGAACTTTGTCACTCACTTTCATCTCAGCAACCAGGAAAGCTGGGAGGCTGGAATTTTGGGTATATGTTCCTACCTTTGCGTCACCCTCCCGTTTCAAGGTCTTCCCCCACACGCGCCTAGACCCCCCGCGTACGGACCCCCGAAAAAAATGTGCAGGAAAATTCCTTAGCCGGGATGCGATTTCGCGAATCAGACAAGGTACAGAGCTGAAATTTTGCAGATATATTCCCTGTGCGCGTGCAAGCTAAATCTTTCAAACACAGCTGTCGCGCACGTTTGTGCAGCACGTACGATCACGTCAAATTTTGCGACTTGGTATTGCGCTAACTCGAAAACTTGCCGGAAACAGTGGCTAAAATTTTGTCAGCATGTTTGCCGCCCATATGAGAAGTCGTATACTTAAATGAGTAGCGATTTGCACTTGCGCCATAACTTAGGGCATTTCAAAGTTATTTGTAGCAAAGTAGCTATTTCGCTTACCGAATAAGCTGCGGGACTGAAAATTCACTGGAATATTCCACTTTCAAGCGCGATCTTCATTCTACTTGGAAGTGAAATTCCTTGCAGATGGGCGTAAGGAATACTCAACTTTACCGAAAAATCAAAAACGAGTGCGTTTTGCAGCGAAAGACCGCCTTCATCCAAATATGTAAATGAACAATCAGTTCAACTGCGTATTTGGATTTTTAACAAACGATTGCTCTATCAACACTTCCATCTTTTAGTGATTTGAAAAATTTGCGCTTTTTCAGAAAATTTTGCGTCTTTCATTTTTTTTAAAAAGCGAGCATTTATCGAAAAAGCCACCGGGTGTCATGCAAAAAACTGGTAATAATGTACGTGGAGGTCCATGCGGCTCTATAATGCAACATCCTCATCCCAATCGGTGCCTATTCTGTTGCATGCCGGAAGAAACCAAAGCAGGCCAATATGAGCCAATTGTTAGGCTGCAGCGCAGGAATCATTCCTGTTGTTGGTGGCCCGCGAGTTTAGTGCAAAAACGCATAATTGCACAGGTAAGTCTGATGCGTTCCAGCCTGGGTGCTCGTAAAAAAAGTTAGTATAACAGGAAAAATTGGACCGAAATGTACGAAAGTCTAGCAAAAAACGGCAGAATTGGCTAGAGTTGAATATAACGGCGGGTACAGCTAGGATGCGTGAATTGTCGTGCTGCAGAAGTTCGGCGCAATGATGTTCTGCATGATGTACACATTAAAATGAATGCGCTTGAAATCGAAAAATTAGCGTAGAAAACTCCGAATTCAGCTAAAAACGAAATGCCAAATTTAGGGTATAGTAACATCAGCTGGCAGCTGGAGGAATTTTCTCGAGCACTTTCGTTCCACTATTTCTATTGAACAAAATGCTTTCAGATTACCGTTATGAGACGGAGCACCGCGACCTGCGTCGCGTAATGGGTGTTGGCATTGCAATTACACGTGGTGCTGCCGCATCGCTGTCGTTTTGTATGGGACTAATCCTGACAACCGTTTGCCGGAACGTGATAACACTTCTGCGTGAAACGCCTTTGCGTGAATACCTGCCGCTGGATTCGGCGATAACGTTTCATAAAATCGTAGCAATTGTGGCTGGTTTTTGGGCCACTGTACATACAGTCGGACATTGTGTCAATTTTTACCACGTTGCAACACAGAGCCAGGATGGCTTGCACTGCTTGTTCCAGGAAGCTGTATTCGGG